CTCTACAATTTCTTTCCTTCCAAAGTATCCAAAATATAGTTAAAGGAATCATCTTTACCGTATTTCTTTTCCTGTCAAGTCCTTCCAAGCCCACACCTCATCAATAACAGATCCCGCAATCAACCAATTGAAGTCATAAATCATGGTCAATAGCTCGTAGGCCACAGAACACCACAGCAGCAAATGTTCACAAGTTTTCTCAGCATTCATGCATAAAAAATATCTGTTGACAAACACCTGTCCTCTAGATTTCAGCTTATCGATAGTAAGTATACATTCTCCGCAAGCTTCCCAGCCAAAGAAGGCGATTCTAAGGGGTACCCCCGTTTCCAAATCTGTAGGGTAGGAAAACTATGGCTTCTACCAAACTCTTCCCTCATAATATGTTTATAAAAGAATCTGACTGGAAAAACACCATCCTTTTCCAATTTTCATTTTACTTGATCGCTAGCAGAGCTAACCTCTTGGGCAGCCAAGATTTGGAGAAGATCGAGATAGTCGCCTACCTCCCAATCAGTTAAGTTTCTAGTGACATTGATCATCCACTCAATATTGCCATTAACTTCTCTGTAGACCTCTTCAATTACCATTCATCATACCAAAATTTAATCATGTCTCCTCTTCCAAGATCCCAGCAAATACAGTCCCTGAATCGGGGCCACTGGAACAGAACATTCTTCTAAAGCCCCAGACCGTGAGGTTTTCTGTCCCCTCTCCCAGCAGTACAAGCCTCAATGTTACCCCACCACATCTGAACAATCCTTCTCCAGAGATAACTATCATCTTTGAGAAATTTCCACAGTCATTTTGCTTGGAGAGCCTTGTTCATATCCACCAAAGACCCGATGCCTAATCCCCCCTGATTAAACAGCTTTTTAACATCGTCCCACTTGATCAAGTGGTATTTTCTATGCCCATCTTTGTCACCTCAAAGAAACCGACACTGGACTTCCAGTCTCTTTGCAATACATACGGGAATCGTTAAGGTGGAGAGGAAATAAACGAGAAGGTTAGCAAAAGTGCCCTTGATTAAAGTTAGCCTCCCTCCTTAGAAAATTTCTCTTCCACCTCGCTAGCCTTCTTTCAAACAAGTTAACCACTGGTTCCCAAGATTTCGCATCTTTGAATTTAGCCCCCAAAGGGGACCCCAAGGTATTTAATAGGTAAACAGACAGCCTTGCAGCCCAGACCCTCGTAAACCTTTTTCCAACCCCATCACCACCGATCCTCACCATTTCAAATTTATTCATATTAATATTAATGCCTAAGACAGCTTGAAACCAAAGAAGACATCATAAGTACAGTAAGACTTTGACCTTCAGAGGACAAAAGATCAGTGTGTTATCAGCAAAAAAAAGTGCAATACCTCTATAAAGTGCTCCCCACTGCCTACTGCAACCCCCTCAATAAACTGTAGCTCCTTTGCCCTCATCATCAAGCCATTTAAAGCCTCCATAGCAATGACGAACAGGAGAGGGGAGAGAGGATCCCCTTGGCAAAGGCCCCTAGATGCGGTGGAAAAAGAAGAAGGGCCATCGTTTATGATAACAGCAAAAGAAGTAGAAGACATATATGTATTCATCCAACCTCTCCATTTTTGCCCAAAACCCATTCTACCCATCATGTAGTCAACAGAATTTCAGCTTACATAATCGTAAGCCTTCTCCACATCTAACTTGCAAATTAAGCCCTCCTTCTTACATGCCACCAAGTCATCCACAACCTCATTGGCCGACATAATAGCATCTAAAATCTGTCTGCCTTCAACAAAAGCATGCTGGCATTCCCCAATAACCTCACCAAGCACCTGGGATAATCTTCTCACCAAGACTTTAGCTATAAGTTTGTAAATACAGCCAACCAAACTTATAGACCTAAAATCTTTAATGTCTTTGACTCCATGGTTTTCGGCAATAGGAACAAGGAAGGTGGAGTTAATTGATTTTACAAATTTCCCCAAAGAATGGAATTCATTAAAGAGCTCCATCACATCATCCTTGAGAACATACCAAAACTCTTGAAGAAATTTCATAATTAAACTCATCCGGCCCCAGAACTTTGTTCCAGCTGCACAACCTCAGGCACAAATGAATTTCCTCCTCGGAAAACCCCTCTTCCAGAAGCATACAGCTCTTATTAGTTAGCCTACTGATTTGCATCCCATCAAGCTTGGGTCCGTTCTCAAAGTCATCCTTGTATAGATGTTAAAAGTACCCTTTAGCAGCTTCCCTCATGTCACTGTTGCTTCTCACCCTATTGTCACCAATCCATATTTCATCAATATAATTACCCTTTTGTCATCAAGCTCACTCCTCAGGGACATAATAGGGTCGAGAGCCTCGACAATTTGACCCTTTGGGAATGAACTATAGGTTTCTTCACTCCCCAACTCCTAACCGCAAGCAATCTTTGCTGAATTCTCCGATTTTTTCTCAGCATCTACTTCCTCTTCTACCTCTTCGTCTTCGTTAGAGCCCTCACTAGGGTTCAAAACAGTGTTCGGATATTTCAACCCCAAAGGCTCTCCTCTGGTCGAGATGCTACCAACAGGTTCCCACTCCCTCTTATATTCAGGGCTTTTGGGCTCAAGGATTGCCGCCACCAAGGCTTGGTCCATGATCCATTTTCCTTTTTCTGCTCTAGAAAATCAATTTTCCCCGTTTGGCCCAAAGGATTTCTGGACCGGGCCCAAATGGTTCTCACTTGCCCTTTTCCTTGACCCAAAGCGACTTGGGCCTGGGGCGTAACTGGAAAAGTTTCTTGGCCCAGCTGGTTTAGATCCAACCCAACCCAACTTCTTCAATGGGAGCTTCTGCGCTACCCGATTCCTCTGCCCTCCTCCCCCCACCCCCATTTTGGAGCGCTACCACATACGACTACTAATTCCCTACTTCTGTAGAAAAATGAATTGGTACCTCACAGTGAGAGCATTTGATTGATACTTTGCAGGGTTTTTGTGGCCATTCATTCCAACATCATCTTGTCTTCTTACCAGCTTTTGTATTCATCTCCGGGTTGATAACCGACTAGTTTGTCAGCTCAAAGGCCACTTTCATGAACATCCACCACCCCTTCCTCTGGTCTCCTGCCGGA